CGCCGCTTCGTCGCGGCGCTCCCGTCTTCGGCGTCTCCTTCTTCGATATCCGAAACTCGCAGCCACCCCCGCGCAAAGTACCGCAGTAGATGACTATCCCGCGTCGGTTGCCAGTGTTTCATCTGGATAGATGTCTGCGATTGCCACAGCCGGGCTTAGGACGAGGCGGATTTATCTGTGGGGGGGGGAAGAGCGTACCGCCGATCATAGAGTTTGCTCGCTGCGTCTTAGGACTAATACCGCGGCTTTCGGTATTCGGTATTCGTCCGGATTTATTTCGATTAGGTAAATTAGCATTTGACACATTATTGGCTTTATCTCTGATAGAGGAATATCCCTGAGTACACTCGGATCGTGCGATCGTCGCAAGTTTTTCTAACGCCGCTATCAAAAGTTCACGAAGGCTTTCGCGAAATAGCATCACGCTTTATTCAAGCTCGCGCCTTCTTTGTGCGCGCCGCGAGATGTGAAGACGTTCGTTCTAACGCCGAGCGCCGAAAGCTATTCAAAAAATCATTGAGAGAAGCCTACCGTTTTGCATTAATGGCGTCGTTTAAAGTTTGCAATGCTTGGCCATTTCTGCTTGATATGACGCGATAGAATACATATTAACGAATTCCGAGCCGCGAAAAACTTTCCGCGCGGCCGCAGAAGTGCGATCACTTGGAAAAAAATGTATGAATTTGTAAATATTATATTTGCGAGCTTATAAATGTACGTGAAACATTTAATGCTTCTCGATGCTTTTATGCGACACTAGCGTAGGGGAGAGGAAAAAAGTCAAGAATTTACGGCGCTGGTTTTGACAGTGATAATGAGAGACCTCTTAACGAGGGCTTGTCTGCGGCAATTAACCGTTTCGCGCGATAATTACTCGAGTTTATTTTTACTGGACGCGCGGGACTATTACGCGGCGTATTTCTTTTATTGCGCATTGGCGAAGAGTCTTAGTTGGAGCATAGGTCGTATTCTTCGGATCAGCAGGTGGTGCACTTCCTGTCTAATGCAGCCGCGCTGTGACACCATTACGCAATGCAGCGTGGCTCGTTATATCCTCATCATGACAAAGAGCCGCCGCGATCGCTCCGGTAGGACAATTGTAGCCGCAATAATGACCGTCGCGGTAGTCTATTAAGCAAGTGTCATGCGTTCGCAATTAAAAGTTGAAATGCAAATTTCTGGCCGATGGATTTTCGCCCGACTTGACATCATCTCTCATTTCCGATCCCGATCCGGACGTCGTCCGGAGGAAAACGACGCGACCTTCCTTATGTGTGCATCGTGGCGGTTTACGAGTGCACATAAGCGGGCTTGTTAGGACGAGTGGGCGAGCGGCATGAAGATTTTCACGGACGGGGAGAGGGCGGGGGGGTTTGCAGTCAGGACACAAGGGACAGTTCACTGGCTGTAGCCGCCGGCGGTCCCCAGAGGTGGCGACCCTGTTGCAAGCCGAACCTAGCCTGCGGTCGCTGGCTTGTTAGATCCAGTTTGGGGTCGCGGCATCGAGGGGTTGAGAAGAGAGGGACGAGGGGGAGAATGGGCACGGAGTGGAGGGCGCCACTCTTCAGTAGACCGCAATCGGGTATGCAATTTACGTGGTGTCCGACCTCTGCGATCCGTGCCATCCCTCCTCGTCCGCCCACCTCCTCGAATCGGTGCTTCCCCGCACTCGCCGGTCTTTCCCCCGATCCTTTCCATCCCACGCATTTCGAGGATTCGCACTCGTAGGCCGAAACGAAGGGGTTGGGTGCGAGGCTGCCAGGCTCTCTGCATTCGATACGCAACAGTGAAAGCGTCGCGCACGTATGGTAGATCCCCGACTATGGCGCAACAAAAGAGAGAGAGAGAGAGAGAGAGAGAGAGAGAGAGAGAAAGAGGGATTCGGGAACACAGCCTGAATGAAACGGAAGAACGAAAAGCTGTAGCTGTCGCAAGCAGAAGTTTCTACGTCGCTTAGGGGGTGGGGGATGGGCGGTGGAGAGTGGGGATTTCTTTTCTCGTTGCCGTAAAGCAGAAGGTAGCCATGATTTCACCTGGCCGGGATCTCTATAGC